TGGGCACGTGTGCGTGCGTGCCCAAGAACCCAAGAGGAGAATGGAGGAGAAGGGATTGTGATGTGGCCATCCTCCCTGGGGTGTGTGTGTGTGTGTGTGAGATTTCTCACTTTCTATCTCTCTGTCTCTCTGTCTCTCTGGCAAGTACATGTGCCCTATCTAGCAAAAACCCCTCTTAAACTAAAAATGGAGAGGAGGCAGAATAGGGAAGAAAATTAGAAAGAAAAAATAGAGAGGCAAGACATTCGTGGGACGCAGGAATGGTTTATTACCTGTGGATGATGACGTGGATAGTATTCTTTTTTTTTTAAAGAATTTTTTATTTTATTTTATTTATTCATTCATCTTTTAATTTAATTGGATCAGAGAGAGACATGGAGAGAGAGGGAAAACAAGAGAAAGCAAGCCACCAGGTCCAGGACTTGAACCATGGTCGGCCATGTGGGAGTGTCCAGTGCCTTAACCACCAGGCCACCAGCTGGCCCCTCATGTATAGCATTCTTAACTGGTCTGGTCTGCGGTGTATTTCACGTTAGGTAAATTCTCTCCACAAGCCAAACCATGCATGGTGGTAGAATACAGAGGAGGAGGAAGAGGAAGAGGAGGAGGGGGAGGAAGAGGAGGAGGGGGAGGAGGACGGGAGAGAAGGAGAAAGAAATTAAATAAAAAAACAAAAAAAAGAAAAGTGGAGCAGGGACCCAGCTGAGGTCTGCCCGACTCAAGCCCTATGCTCTTACCCACCACGGAAACCACCTCCCCGTAACCCGCACCAACCCCACCCCTGCGTCCAACCACCGCTGGCCGCCCTAGCTCCTGTCTGTCCCCACATTCTCAGCCATTGCCCGGCAGTGACCCCGCAGGGCAGCAGGGACAGGTGGGCATTATCTGCAAGGTCTCCACAGGCCCGTGTGGGTGCAGAACGAGGTCCCCAGAAGACACGTCCTCTGGGACACCTCCCCCAAGTACCAGACATTACTGTGCCCGGGTAGCCCCTAGTCACACGGTGCCCAGCACACACGCTGCAGTCTGGGGTGAGTCCTTGAAGATGCCACGCCATCCTGTCACTCCAGTTCCTAGTGACCCAGCCGGGCCAGGTCTTATGACAAGGACCGTGAAGACACTCGGGACACAGAGGGACGTGAGAGAGGGTAGGGATATGGCATGGAGGGTGGACATGCCAGGCCCCGGGATCCTCAGACTGTGCTTGGACGTGTCACAAGTCCTCCCCCTGCCTGGGCACTCAGCAGCAAGGGACAAGGAGGGGGAAGGGAGACAGAGAAAGGAACCGCCAGTGTCCCCCAGGTTCGAGTCCCGGGCCATGCCTGACTCCTCAAGACACAGGCCCGGCGGCGTGAGGCTGGACGAGGAGGCCGCCGGGCCTCAGCAGCTCTTGCGATCGCCCTGCAGTTCCACGTAGGGCACGCCCAGGGGCCAGGTGTCCCGAGGCCAGTAGTGGACTTTGAGGGTCTGCTCCGGCATCTCGTACCTGGCATCCACCAAGGCCATGGACACCATCAGGTAAGGGAACGTGAAACTGATGAAGACATGCCTGTGGGGGCGGGAGCGGAGGGTGCCGAGCGCTCGCGCCCACTGCTCGCAGGGCCTGGCCAGCTCAAGGGGCCTCCGCCCCTGCCCCCCGGACTGCAGCCTTCCCCCACTGCCAAGCCCTGGCACCTGCTCTCCCCCTTCCGGTCCTCCTTCCTCACCACCTCCTCCTTCTCCCCTCCCCAGAACCCGCTCCAAGCTCTGACATCAGGCTCTCTGACTCTGGGGTCCCGGGCCCCAGGCCAGGTGCTTACCAGAAGCTGTGCAGGTAGAAGAAATTAATCTCCTGCCAGAAACCGCAGAGAAAGCGGTCGCTGACCCAGCAGCTCACGGCCAGCACCCACAAGACCACGGACACCTCGATGAAATGCCGGAGCTCTCTGTCGCTGGTCCTAGGGAGGGGAGAGAGGAGACCAGGGCCAGCCTCAGAGAGTGGGGAGAAGGGGCTCTGTCCAAGGGGCTGAGGGCCAGAGGCTGGGAGGAAGGAGGGAGGAGGGATGAAGGGCGCGGGAGGGGAAGTGTCTAATCCGAGCTGAGGGCTAAGCGTGCTGGGCATTGATGGGACACCAGTATGGCTCTGCACACCCTTCAGACGGCCTTTGTCTTTGGAGAGGTTTTTGTTATAAGGCACGTGCGCTCGCCAGAAAAGACAGAGAGAGACAGAGAGACAGAAAGTGAGAAATCACCCACCAGGGTGGATGGCCACGCCGCAATCCCTTCCCCTCCATTCTCCTCTCGGGATCTTGGGCACGCACGCACACGCGCTCAGCGTGAGTTTAAGCCACCAGGTCCGGGACTCGAACCACAGTCGACTACGTGGGGACTAACTCAGTGTCCCTTGTGAAAGTGTGTGTCGGGGATGAACGAGACAGCAAACTCCTTTATGGTTAAAAACAACCATGAAGGCTCGTGGGGCTGGCAGCTGGTGTGTTTAAGGTGCTGGACTCACATTTGGCCAACCGTGGTTGGAGTCCTGGACTGGGCAGCATGTTTTCTCACTCTGCCTCTTTCTCCCTCTCTCTCTGGTCAAACTGAAGAATCAAAACAATAAATAAAATAAATAATTCTACAAAAAAGAGAGCAAAAGTAACCATAGGCTTGGGGCCAGCAGATGGCTTGGAGGCTAAAGTGCTGGATCCCACATAGCTGACTCTGAGATCCGAGTCCTGGACCTGGTGGCTTCACTATCACACCAGGGGCAGGTGTGTGTGTGCCCAAAATTCCAAGAGGAGAATGGAGGAGAAAGGACTGCGGCGTGGCCATTTCTCAGTTTTTCTCTCTCTCCCCTGGTGGCATATATGCCCTCTGGCAAACTGAAAACAAACAAGCAGTCAAACAGAAGGACAACAAAAACATCCATCTAAATCTAGCTGTCCCTGTGTAGGAAATACAAATAAATAAATAAGGAAACACACTGGGACCAGCAGATGGCATAATGGTTACGTCACTGGACTCCCATGACGTCAACCACGGTTCGAGTCCTGGACCCAGCAGCTTGAAACTCATGCTGGGCGTGTACATGTGTGTGCCTAAGATCCCAAGAGGAGACCGGAGGAGAGGGGATTATCCTCCAGAAGTGGCATGGCCATTCCCCCTGGGAGGTGACTTCTTGCTTTCTGTCTCTGTCTCTACAGTGAGCACATGTACCCTATAGCAAAACCTCTCTGAAAATAAAAATAATAATAATAATAATAAGGAAACACATGGGGCTGACCAATGGTTTCCAGTTGGGCTGACCAATGGTTTCCAGTTGGGCTGACCAATGGTTTCCAGTTGGACTGACCAATAGTTTCCAATTGGACTGATCCATGGTTTCTAGTTGGGTTGGCCTACGGTTTCTAGTTGGGCTGACCAAGAGTTTCCAGTTGGACTGACCAAGAGTTTCCAGTTGGACTGACCCATGGTTTCCAGGTGAGTTGGTCAACAGTTTCCAATTGAGTTGACTAATGGTTTCCAGTTGGGTTAACCAATGGAGAGCCCCAGTAGGAAGCCAGTTAGTAGACAGCAGAGGTAGAGTACACACTCTAGCTTTCTCTCTACAGAAGTGGCTGCAGCTGCACCTGGAGATTCCATCCCCTGTCTCCTCTCCCGTTGCCCCCTGCCCTGGGTCATAAGACGGTCACAGACTCCCGCATTGATCAGCACAAGGGTTCTAAACCATCCCAGTGAGTTCTCTACACCTGCCTTCTTTGTGAATGTCCTTTTTACTCAACTCTCTTCAAGTGGTCCCACTGGAGAGCCTCCTCTATCCTGCTAAGACACACGATGGGTTAAAAAAAGTAATTATCAGGGGGCCAGCAGGTGGGGTGGTTGAGGCGTTGGACTCCCATATGGCCAGCCACGGTTCAAATCCCGAATCTGGCGGCTTGCTTTCTCACTATCCCTTTCTCTCTGTCTGTCTCTCTCTGGTCAAAATCAAAGAATAATGATAATCAATAAAACTGAAAATAAATAAATCTTTAAAATATTTTAGAAAGGAATTATCAGGAGAAGTAACTTCTGAAAACTTTAGGGGTGAAATCACATGGAGTTTTGGGGAAATACGTGACCATGGAACTCAGGCCGGCGAAACGCAGTGGCTGTCGGGGATGATTGTCAAGTGCGTGGAGGTTCGTGGGCAAATTCTCTCTGCCGGTGTGGCAGTTTGCAGGTAGGTTTGGAGTCACCATCGAACTGACAAGCTCAGGACCAGCGGATGGCGTAATGGTTACGTCGCTGGACTCCCACATAATTGACTGCAGTTCAAGTCTCGGACCGGTGGCTTAAAACTCATGCTGGGTGTGTGTGCGCGTATGCCCTAAATCCCAAGAGGAGAAGGGAGGAGAAGGGATTGCGGTGTGGCCATCCGCTCTGAGGGGGTGATTTCTCACTTTCTGTCTCTCTGTCTCTTTGGCAAGTACAAAATGTCTCTCAAAAAAAAAAAAAAAAGAGGAAGAAGAAGAAGCCCCAGCTCTGGGGGCCAGCAAGTGGTGTCGTGGTTAAAGTGCTGGACTCCCAGATGGCCGACCACAGTTCTAGTCCTGGACCTGGCAGCTTGCTTTCTCATTTTCCCTTTCTCTCTCTCTTGCTCTGGTCAAATAAAAAATAATAATAAATAAATAAAATTAAATAATTCTTTAGGGAAAAAAAAAAAAGACAAGCTCTGGGGCCAGCAGGGGGGTGTGATAGTTAAAGCCCTGGCGTCCTATGTAGTCCTACGTAGCCAACCCCAGTTTACATCCTGGACCTAGCAGCTTGAAAATCACGCGTGGGGACGTGTGTGCGTGCCCAGAACGCCCGGGGGAGAATAGAGGAAAAGGGGTTGCAATGTGGCCGTCCCCCCGCGAGGGGTGATTTCTCACTTTCCGTCTCTCTGTCTCTCTCCAGTGAGTGCACTTACACGGTGACGAAAGCTTAAACAAACCAACAAGGGCAGACTCCGCCATGAGACTGACTGAGGTTCAAATCCCGGCCCTGCTACTCCTCTCAGGACGATCTGGGGGAGGAAGGGTCCTTCCCCGAAGCCCGGAGCCAGCGATCCCGGGGGTCCCGCGGCGGCGGGCGGCGGGCGGTGCGGGGAGCCCCGGCTCACTTGTGGTACTCCTGGAACACCATGTAGACGATGTGCACAGACACAGTGTAGAGCCCGTAGGCGTTGAGTGTGGGCCGCACGACCGACAGGAAGGTGCTGATCACAGCAGAGACCACCACCAGGCAGGTGAACTGGGGCCTGGGGGGAGAGGCGCGGTGAGAAGGCCGAGCCAGGCTCCAGCAAGGGCCCTGAAAGGGCAGGACGGCTTCGGTACAGGGTCCCGGGGAACCTAGACGGGCCCAAGCCCTGTCTAAAAGGGGACCCAAGCCCTGTCTAAGAGGGGACCCAGGGTTGGGGAGGGAGAGGAGAAAGTTCCCTGGGGCCCTGGAGTCCGTGACAGCCCCCAGCCGCCAGGACAGATCAAGCGAGACGTTAAAAAAACATAGGCAGGCTCAAAGGAAGGGTCTCCTTGAGAGGTCAGACGGCGTGGTGGTTAAGGGCGCTGGACTCTGACAGAGCTGATGGCAGTTCAAGTCCCGGACCTGGCAGCTTGCTTTCTCACTTTCCCTTTCTCTCTCACTCTGTGCCTCTCTGGTCAAATTTAAATTAATATAGTTAAATAAGAGTAATTCTTTTAAAAAGAGAGAGAGAGAGAGGGCAGACGAGGGTTCTCAGGGACCAAGAGGGGTCCAAGAACTTCGGAGGTCTCAGGATTGGTTAGGGAGAGGGTTCTTCCAAGGCTCAGGTGGGTGGAGCATGTTTAAGTTGTTCTTTTCTCCTCTGAATTTGAGAACTGTGTGTGATTCTTATAGCAGACCAGGATCATTTGCTAGGCTTGGAGACACAGGCTATTGACGCTGCTATAGAGCAGTCCTTTTACATGCAGCCTGTCTTTCTGTTTAACCCCAAAGAATGGGAAAATGACATTTAGCAGCTTTCAGCAAGGTCTGGGGTCCTGCCCTGTAAAGGGCAATCCTGCTAGTCTGCAGAACTAATCAAGGTTTGAACAAGAGTATTGACAAAAATGTGCGATGGGACTCCAGCCTGTGACCACTTCACTTTAAACTGTCCTTAGGATGTGGTGCATCTTCTACAGAGGAAAAGAGCACGAAAACACATGAAAACGGTGTGGTAGGGTGTTTGATGCTTGGAGAAAGCTGCATTAGGAAGGTCTGCAGCACAGAACTTTCGGATCTGAAAGGCGACACGGAGGACCTCAAGCTGCGGGAACGGGTCACTCACCCCCTCACAGGCTCTCCCTCTCTTTGTCCTTGAGGCCTGCAGGTCATGCCTGGCTTGAACTGCCAGCCCCTGGGAGCTCAAGGTCACCCCTTCCAACTCGTTCGGGTCGCTGAACAATCAGGCCGACACGAGGGGGCGCCACGTCCTCGCGTTGGAAACATGTCTGTGGCATCGAGATGGATTTCTTTCTCGAGTTTTCCCGGTCCAAACCTTGGTGCTGATTCTCACGTTTACTAGTAAGAATCCGAGCATGGTGAAGTCTACAGACAAAAGGGATCCGGAGGGATACTGGAGTCCAGGGGCCTTGTGTTTCAGGGCTGACAGCTACAGTTCCACAGACCTGGGCCACACAGCTTCTTTCCTGAAGCCAGCCTTGGAAACCTCCAGAAAGACTGTTGTAATGTTCTTTACACTCACAGCCCCCCGCAGCTCTCAGACTTCCTGTCATAACCTATAGGTTTCCATCACCTCAGTGAGGTTTTAGCATTTCCTCTGGGGCACCAGAGAAGCCCGTCTGCGTTGGGGCAGATCCATGACTTCATTTTCCAAAGTCCTTTTTCTTTTCAATTTGGGGCAGTTTAGGGAAAAGTTATGCCATGAAATGGGTGCCCTATTCTGGAAGACAGTAATGACAGGAGGAATGAGCAAATGATACACAGAATATTTTTCCGCTATTTTGATTTGAATCAAGGTGAATGTAGTGACCTGTACCCGCTCTGCGCACTTCTGATGTGACGGAGCGCTGCCTGCAGTTGCTTCTATGTGGTGGCCCGGCCTGGGCCTTGGTGCCTGGGGGGCTTCCGTCACTGGGTCTGCCTATTGTCTCACTCTTCCTGCAGAGGCAGCATCAGGTTCTGCAGCCCCACGCCCCACCCGCACTGGAATCCCAGCTCGGTCCCTCTCCAGCTGTGTGCAAGGTGCTCAGGTGGCTGTCCTTAGTGAGACTTCTGCAGGAAGGCAGACTTGTGGTTTGAGAACCATCAGGAAGCAAGACGTATTGGTACACGACAAGCATCAAACATGACTCACTTTAAAAAAAAGACATGTTTGGTACAAACAAAAATGTGAAGACAGCTGAAGTGCTGTGCAAGTTCAGTGTGAAAAAGGAAGTCATGTGGTTAAAACACGGGAAGTTATACAATTTTTTCTTGACGTGATTATTTAGTTATAGCAAAAGCAAAAGTAGAAGTCAGAACAGGGAATACACTCGGGTACATAGGGAGCTGCCCACGGAACATTGGGTAGTACATAGATCCCTTTATCTTGCTTTTCTTTCTTTTTTTTAAAGAGATTTTTTTCTATGTGGTGCATGCACTGCCAAAGACATACAGAAAGAGAGAGAGAAATCACCCCCTAGGGGGATGGGCATGCCACAATCCCTTCTCCTCCATTCTCCTCTTGGGATTTTGGGCACGCATGCACACGCGCCCGGCGTGAGTTTCAAGTCGCTGGGTCTGGGACTCAAATCTCAGTTGACCATGTAGGAGTCCAGTGCCATAACCACCACACCACTGCTGGTCCCGAGGTCCCGTTTTGAAATGCTCACAGTCGGGTGCACTGCCAAGATGCCGTTGGCAGGACTTGCAGCGAGCAAACATGTTGCCATTTTTATCTATAAGGAGGAATGCTTGCTCCGAGATTCCTGGTAATCAGGTTGGGGTTCTGTCTGGGGGTAATGCACTTTAGTATGAGGAAGATGGAAAAAGCGTAGTGAGTGTGGTGTCACCGCCGACCCCACAGAGCCCAGAGGCTTGGAACAGTGTTGAGACACGGTGACTGGAGGATACAGGAAGTTTTCTCTACCCAGGGTTTAAAGGCAGCTACAGTTTCTGTAGCAAATGAATTAGAGTGACCTTGCCCTGAGATGGCCCCTTGCCCTGAACGTGGTAAAGAATGCCTGTGTTTTCTTTCTGCTGAGCTCCTCCTGGGGCAAACTAGATAGTAACAGCTCTGTCCGTTCGGATGGTGTGGATAGAATTGCAGGGTTAGATTGCACTATCTGTTCCAAGTTTTGTTTTGTTAGTGGGGTATGTGCATTTGCCAGAGAGAAAGACAGAGACCGAGAGAGAGAGGGGACGGGAGAGAGAGAGAAAGCACTCCCTAATAGGATATGGCCACGTGACAATCCCATATCCTCCATTTCTCCATCCTGCTGAGATTTGGGGCAGTCATGCACACATGCCTCATGTGTTTTCCAAGCCAGCAGGACCCGGATTTAAAACTGTACTCAACCATGTGGGGTCCAGCTCCCTTAACCACCATGCCATGACTGACCTTACCTGGAATTTAAGCAATGAGCAAGTTGTGACTGTGGTAGTCTTTGAAGACCAAGACCAAACCTGCAGAAAAATAGTTATTCAGCCCATCTATGTTGTGTGGCTTACAATGGGAAAGAGGGCCATCGCCTAGTTCTTCCCTTCATTTACTCCTGTATCCACACAGGTGTGAATTTGCTGAGCAAACGTCGCTGCACAGTGATAAAGAAGAGACCATAAAGAGGAGGGTAACCAGACAGACCTTACCTTCAAAGAGCTGTCATCAATTCCCTTCAAAACAATTTTTATTTATTTATTTTTAAAAGATTTTTGCCATATGATGTGTGCGCTCGCCAGAGAGAGAGATGGAGACAGAGAGAGGGAAGGTAAGTAATTACCCTCCCAGGGGAGATGGTTAGGCTATAAGCACTTCTCCTCTATTCTTCCCTCGAGATTCTGGGCATGCACACATGTGCGCAGAGTGATTTTTGAGCTGCTGTGTCTGGGACTCAGTTGGCCATGGGGAGTCTAGCACCTTAACCACCACGCTACCTGCTGGCCCCTCAATTTTCACTTTTAAAAATCACCTTTCCTGTGTCCTACAGGAGAAACTAGTATGAGCACTACTCTAATGCCAAACTAAATTGCACATAATTTTATAAAGCGTGAGCTTTCTTGAATATATCTTTACATTTGTAGGAATTTCTTCTGTGCTTGATTCCCAAAGAGAAAATAAACTTCTATTATATCTTGGTAAATAAATAATTGAAACAATGAGAAAAAAATGATAAATAAAAGTCATTCTGGTTGATGGAGCACCATCATACAGTTCTCGAAGTGGTTCTTCATCAGAAAGGAAGCAGGTACTCCGGCAAGGCTGGACCAAATTGGCTTCTCATGACAATCGCAAGAGGACCAGGGTCCCCTCTCCTTGTGACTTGTGATAGCTCCACGCCCTAGAATCAGCAGGGTACATGACATCCAGATTTGCTGACATTCTTGAGGCCTGGATGTTTTCTTTATTTGTCTTTCAACTCCAAATGTTTCCTGAGAATATTCTAGAAGTTGTCTTTTATACTAACCATCAATCCTGACTACTGATTGCAATCAACTGTGGAACTTAAAAAACTACAGATCTCTACTGTCAACATATGAATTAGAACCTTCTGTGGACAATTTACTTTTTTAAAAAAGAAAGAGTCTTGCTCATTTGCAATTCCTTGCCTCAGCCTTCTGAGTAGCTGGGATTCTAGAAGTCAACCACTACACCCAGCTTTTGGGGTAGACCAAGATTCAAAACCAGGTCTCCCATGTGACCTCAGTCTGCTGAGCAGCCATGTCAATTAGTCTATCCTACCGTCACTGGACCACACATTTCACTTTAATTACTGTTCAATGATAGGACAGGGGTGAACTATATGGAATATTCTGTTGTGATTAAAATTATGGCAAGGAAGAATTTGTTGACCTGAGAAAATATTCGTGATGCATTGCTAAGTAAAAAGAAAAAAAAGCAGGCTTGAAAAAGAGTATTTAATGCTTAATATGTTATTTTTGTTGAACAATCATGTATTTATATGCATCACACAGAAGGCTGGAAAGAACCTCACGAAGTATGAATAGTGGTGATCTTTGAGCAGTGATTTCTGTTTGTTTTTTCTTGGTGTTTTTCTGTTCTCTAAGTTTTATGCATCAATCTCGTGTTGCTTTTGTACTGAAAAACAGGTTCCCTACTTGCTAGTGGTGGCCCAGCCATGGTGTTGCAGGGGGTACTGGCACCACATGGGAGATGGAGGTTAGGATCTTGGGGTGATGTGAAACAC